ATATATATATATATATACACATTTATAAATTCAATATATATATTACTTCATTTCTATTTAGTTTGTTAAAGTATTAAAATAATTCATTAAATAAAAATAAAACTTAATAAAAGACCTATACAGACATAATAAATTCAGACATAATTTAACTAAAATTAAAATAAATAATACAAATCAAATGACAGTAGTTTATCAGTAATCCTAAAAAATAACACTGCCAAACTTACATGCTAAAAAACAACAACTTACTTACACATAGTAAGAAATGGTTATAAAAAACTGAAACATAAGTGAAACAAGTAGTAGGAAAGAGGAGAAATAAAAAGCGATACTTATCCTTTGCCGGTGTCCTGCCCGGTCGAGTCGCACGGTAGAGTCGATGGTCTTTACACTCTTCGGTCTTCACACGAGGAGGCCATCACACGCGGAGGCTGTCACGCGACGGCTGCCGCGGTAAACTAAGCTTTTTTTATACCCGTCTAACAAAATACTAAATTAATTCAGCTGGACACACTTTCCTTATTTTTTTCACAACAAATGGCCAAGCAAGCGCAGACACTGACAAGATACAGAACAAAACCAAATGCGATATCAACACGTCTCCACACAGTAAACAAAACAAACGTTTCCTAGCAATGACAACTGCACTAAACACTAATGAAACAAGTAAATACACTTAATACTCTGAATACATTTTAAACGAGCTACTTTTTACTTTTACTTGAGTAGATTTTTAGACTGGTACTTTTACTTGTACTTAAGTAAAATGTCATTAATGTAATGGTACTTTTACTTGAGTAGAATATTTTCGTACTCTTTTCACCTCCGATTAACTACCTGTACTTACTATATGGTTAGGATGAGGGTTTAGTTTAGGGTTAGTTGCATGTAAGGCTTACATGTAAAGTGTTACCCTACATATACTTATTTTGGTTATGGTATGTTTACAAATTCACTGATCACAGCAGGGTTCCCATGATCAGGAAAAACTTACTGGAAATGCTGGATTATTTTTAAATGGTGATTTATTTGCAAGTTCAAAGCATGTTTTCCAAATATGTCATTCTTTCTGTTTAGGCTTCTGACTGCTTTCTATGATTCTGAAGACCCTGAGAAAAAGTGCAGGTTCCCTGGAGAAAGCCAAAAGTCAAATCTTAGTCTTACAAAGACATTGCCTTCTCTGCTGATTTTGGGTGGCCTCACTTTGCCAATGCTGTTAACAGAGTCAGGTAGAAAACTCTATCTCAATACCTGGCTCTATGGGACTCTGATTGGATGGGTGTGGGTAAGTGTAAGTCCATAAACTAGCCATACTGAGGGGGGAAAAAAAACATTCTGACCGCTCATATCAACACAGACAATTTGGTTTCATCATTGGATTCTTCATGTCTCACCATAGTTTCTTTTTGGCTCATAGTATGCTACTAACCAAGAGGATTATTTACTATTTGTGACCCTGGACCACAAAACCAGTCTTAAGGGTCAATTTTTCAAAATTGATATTTATACATCATCTGAAAGCTGAATAAATACGCTTTCCATTGATGTATGGTTTGTAAGGATAGGACCGAGATACAACTATTTGAAAATCAGGAATCTGAGTGCAAAAAAAATTTGCCTTTAAAGTTGTCCAAATGAAGTTCTTAGCAATGCATATTACTAATCAAAAATTAAGTTTTGATATATTTACAGTAGGAAATTTACCAAATATCTTCATGAAACATGATCTTTACTTAATATACTAATGATTTTTGGCATAAAAGAAAAATCAATAATTTTGACCCATACAATGTATTTTTGGCTATTGCTACAAATATACCCCAGCAACTTAAAACTGGTTTTGTGGTCCAGGGTCACAATTTTTCATTTGTTTTATTTTATACTCTTAACTGGCAGGAGATAAACAGGAACACTGTGTCTGCACTGCAAACAAGTATGAGAGACTAAAATATTCCAGTTGTCAGCATAATACACTTGCAGCACTGTAGACAGATATGTAGATTTATAATAGGAACGTTTCAGTTTTGTTTCATGTCATCATTCACTTGCGATGTAGACCCAATGTGAGGGTTTCCATACAATCTGAGCTCAATTGTAACCTGAAATGCACAAATGGATAATATGTAGCACAGAGACAATGTTTGGTATTAAGGTTTAGTATACCCATAGCAGTCTTGAAACATTTGTCATTTAACCATATTATTGGCCTTGTGGAACCATGTGTTTAAATTTCCAGTATGCAGTGGTTCCAGTGTGTGTGGTTCTGAATATTGTGAATGGTTTCTAACATCAGCTATGTTTACAGGGTCTGTATTTCATCATCCTGATGTTCTTCAGAATATTTGGAGTATTTTATTATTTTATGCTGATTTCCATTATGCAATGCAGGTGATTTTTGGTATGCGTTGGGTTTTGATTGTATGGGTTTTGATTTGTATTTTTTTATATTTTTATTTGATTTGATGCCAAGATCTTAAAAAGCCTGTCAGATATGGGCTTTTTATTGTAAGCGTTTGCACAGTTGCTAAATATTTCACAGATAGCTGCCAAACTTGCTGGTTGCAGGGGTATTAAAGATTGTTCAGTCAAAAATAAAAAAAAAGGTACAACTTTGACAAGACCTGAGCACAGTGGACAATGATTAAAGGATTACCAGGGGTGTAGCGTCTGGATATGCAGGGTGTGCATATGAGCCTGGGCTAATTGGGGGCCCATTTAATTAAAACGAGGGAACTTAATTTGTGGCCACAATAAATATATATTTTTTTTGTCCGCATGTCATGTGCAGGTCTTGGTAATTCCTTGTGTGCATTTGTTTTATTCCTGTCGTAGAACTAGCCAAATAATTAACAAAAAAAAAACTGTGAGGTTGGTAGATAGCTAGTTGAAAAGACTATCACAACTGTATCACATCTAGCTTCAGCGACTGCGGTCAAGCCAGCTACGGTTCAGAAAAACACAGTCAAGCCAGCAGCGATTAAAATTGGTGTGCACGCGTAATACAATAATTACTGTAATTGCAGGAACACACAGAGAGAACGCGCTTTCAGAGCGCTTTTCATTTAGATGCCCAGAATTGAGATATGATATATAACAAGATGACATTTCTCAATTTCTTTTTTTGTATTTTTGCTTTAATATTTTTAATTGGTGTTTTGACGGCTGTGTGTTACTGTATTTCTCTACCTTTCAAATCTTAGCAGGATTCGTAGATAAAGCGATATGGGAAATTATAAATAAAGGTGACTTGACTAAATCGAATATATTCGGCTTTTAACCATACAGATTGTGTCAAAGCAACTTTACAGCGTTAAATAGGAAAATAGTGTGTCAATAATGCAAAATGACAATAGTAAACACTCAATTTTCAGTTAAAGGCAGTTCATCATTGAATTCAGTGATCATCATCATCCAGCTCAGTTGAGTTTAAATAGTATCTGTGCAATCAAGTCGACGATATCGCTGGCAGTTAAGTGTCCCCAACTAAGCAAGCCAGAGGCGACAGCGGCAAGGAACCAAAACTCCATCAGTGACAGAATGGACAAAAAAACCATGGGAGAAACCAGGCTCAGTCGGGGGCCAGTTCTCTGGCCAGACGAAACCAGAAGTTCAACTCCAGGCTGCAGTAAAGTCACATTGTGCAGGGGACTCATCTGGTTCCTGTGGTCTTGTCCCGATGGCTGTCTAGGAGATGAGGTCTTTACTGGGGATCTGTCTCTGGGGCTCATCTAGTTGTCCTGATCTCCACTGACATTCAGGGCTGTCGAGGTCATCTCTAGGTGCTCCATCTGGGCTGGATACGTACTGGATCCGGGTGACTGCAGTGACCATCTGATCTGGATGCAGACTGGATCTGGTGGCTACGGTGACCTCGGAAACAGACTAATATTAGCGTAGATGTCATTCTTCTAACGATGTAGCAATACAAGTACATCGGGTGTTATGGGAAGTGTTCCCGGTTCCGGTTGTCCTAATTAATGCAGCCTAAAAATCCTTTAACGGATTTAAATATTAGAAATGTGTTAGTGTGTTATGTGTAAGCAAGGTTAAAGAGATGGGTCTTTAATCTAGATTTAAACACAGAGTGTCTGCCTCCCGAACAATGTTAGGTAGGTTATTCCAGAGTTTGGGCGCTAAATAGGAAAGGATCTGCCGCCCGCAGTTGATTTTGATATTCTAGGTATTATCAAATTGCCAGAGTTTTGAGAACACAGCGGACGTGGAGGACTATAATGCAATAAGAGCTTGTTCAAATACTGAGGTGCTAAACCATTCAGGGCTTTATAAGTAATAAGTAAGATTTTAAAATGATAATGAAAATAAAGATGTTTAATAGGGAGCCAGTGCAGTGTTGACAGAACCGTGCTAATATGGTCATACATCCTGGTTCTAATAAGAACTTTAGCTGCTGCATTTTGGACCAGCTGGAGTTTGTTTATTAAGCGTGCAGAACAACCACCCAATAAATCATAACAATAATCTAACCTTGAGGTCATGAACGTATGAATTAACATTTCTGCATTTGACATTGAGATGGAGGACTATAATGCAATAAGAGCTTGTTCAAATACTGAGGTGCTAAACCATTCAGGGCTTTATAAGTAATAAGTAAGATTTTAAAATGATAATGAAAATAAAGATGTTTAATAGGGAGCCAGTGCAGTGTTGACAGAACCGTGCTAATATGGTCATACATCCTGGTTCTAATAAGAACTTTAGCTGCTGCATTTTGGACCAGCTGGAGTTTGTTTATTAAGCGTGCAGAACAACCACCCAATAAATCATAACAATAATCTAACCTTGAGGTCATGAACGTATGAATTAACATTTCTGCATTTGACATTGAGAGCATAGGTCGTAATCTAGATATATTTTTGAGATGGTAAAATGCAGTTTTACAAATGCTAGAAACGTGGCTTTCGAAGGAAAGCCTAGGTTCCTAACTGATGACGAAGAATTGACAGAGCAGCCATCAAGTGTTAGACAGTGTTCTAGGTTATTACATGCGGAGGTTTTAGGTCCGATAGAAAGAAATTACTCGTCATCCAGTTTTTTGAATGATTTGAACCATGCTAATGCACTTCCACTAATGCCAACAAAGTTTTCTAGTCTATTCAAAAGAATGTTGTGGTCAATAGTGTCGAACACTGCGCTAAGAGAGGGATACAACCACGATCAGATGATAAGAGCAGGTCATTTGTAACTCTAATGAGAGCAGTCTCAGTACTAAGATACGATCTAAATCCTGACTGGAAATCCTCCCAAATACCATTTTTCTCTAAGAAGGAATTTAATTGTGAGGATACTACATTTTCTAGTATCTTGGACAGAAAAGGGAAATTCAAGATTGGTTTGTAATTAACTAGTTTTTTGGTGTCAAGTTGTGTTTTTTTGATGAGAGGCTTAATAACAGCCAGTTTGAAGATTTTGACCTAGGTTTATGAAGGTTGAAGGTTTATCCTAATGACAATGATGAATTAATAATAGTCAGAAGAGACTGAGACTATGACTTCTGGAAGCACCACTTTTAGGAGCTTAGATGGAATAGGGTCTAACATACCCATACATAAACATGTTGGTTTAGATGATTTAACAAGTTTATACAATTTTTTTCTCTCCTATAGTAGAGAATGAGTGGAATTGTTCCTCAGGGGATCGATAGCCCACTATCTGATGCGATACTGTAGCTGACGGCTGCATGGTTACAATTTTATCTCTAATAGTATCGATCTTGGAAGTAAAGTAGTTCATAGTCATTACTGCTGTGCTGTTGGGAAATGTCAACACCTGTTGATGCTTTACTTTTCGTCTCTTTTAGAAGAAAACAAACATAACCCCAGGTATTTATTCAATACAGTGGCTAAATTAACGAAAAATAATCAGATCTAGCCGTTTTTAATTCTTTTCTGCAGGATAGAGTATTTTCCCGCCAAGCAATACGAAATGCCTCTAGTTTTGTTTTCCTCCAGCTGCGCTCCATTTTCCGGGCTGCTCTCTTTTGTTGTGCGAGTGTGCACGGTGTCAGACTGTTTTCTTTAAACTTCCTTACGCGTAAAGGAGCAACCGTATCTAAAATGCTAGAAAATAGAGAGTCCATAGTTTCTGTTACATCATCAAATTGTTCTGAGCTACTGGATATGCTGAGGAATTGAGATAAATCAGGAAGATTACTTACAAAGCAGTCTTTTGTGGTAGAAGTGATGATTCTACCATACTACAAGGAGTAGAATTTACAGTTTTAGCTATAGGAAGTTTGAACAAGACTACTTGTTTCTCTGGATAATGTTATATGAAGCACCATTACTTCAAACGAGTTA